AGTTTCCGCTAGATGGCGTTAGAAAAATGACATTTTGTGCTAAGAAGCTATTCTGACAGTTTTGTGATTGGTTGGTTCAGTTCCGTTTGAGCGTGTGTCAAATTTTGGTGTCCATCTCATCTCTCATCAGCAAAGAGAAAAAACGCTATATTTTACAGTTTTTCACGGATAAGGGCGAAAACGTAAGCGAGGCTACAGTAATTTTGATGCAAAGTATGCTTCACGGAGTTGAAGACCATTTTTCGAAAATGCCGATAAAATCGCGGGCAATGTTGAGTCCGATCGTCATGTAAGCACTGTTTTGATTGACCTGAAGCTAAACATTGCACAAAAAAACCGCTTTGAATCATTTGAATAAGGCTGAATACGAAAAGTAAAAATTAAACCATACAATTTTATGCAAAAATAATGGATTTCTTTTCACTACACCGGATATATGGGTTCTCGCTTCCAAGATGTACTACAATTTGCAGGTGAAGCCTTTTTCTGAGAACGACGGATTTATTTCGGGCTTCATTATTACTAGTTTTAGCCAGCTGAGACACATCCTCCTGTAGTTTGCGTCCGAGAATTTGGCGCATATAAATATTATTACATTAATCCCTTTAAGCTCTGCTGAAATATACAAAACATCGTATTGTATATATTTTTAAATTAACGAGGGAAATTAAATTAATTAATAAATTAAAATACCATATTTTTGTTAAAAAATGTTCTAGTACGTTTTTTATTCAACTTTGAACTATTTTGAGACTAGTATGTGTCCGATTACAGACTGATAATTGCCAAACTCGTAGAATATATCAATGCAAACTAGAATATATGTATATGTAACAGTTGATTGTTTGGAAAAGCGACAGTTAGCTGTGCGGTCGGTCATTCTTGCTATACACCAGTTCCGGAGTAGTTTTTAATTAGTTCTTTTATCTACAGCACACTAACGAAGCCAATTCGAGTTGTGTTGTGATGGCTCGCATGGTGTAGCGTTGCTATGGTAAACATATTTGTGTGTAAATATTCTTCAGCATACATTTATCTACTGCACAACGGTCTAACTACTAAGTGATGGGAAACGCCTTTACCGTTATTTCGGTTGTAATATAATACTATTATTACCAACTATTAGTTGTTATTATTTGTCAACTGTTTGCAGGCAAATATATGTACAGATGTACGTACATGCATACATAGATATTTGTAAATATATATGCATATGTATAGGGACTTGTTGTCCTGCAAATAATACCGAATGTACCTACAAAGTGCGAGTCTCCGACAAATTGCATGCAACATTGGCATTAAAATGCAACGTATTGTAATTTATTGTAATTTTATTGTTGTTCTACAACTTTCAAACACTGTTGTTGCGGTTGTTATTGTTGGTATCATTGTTGCAGTTTTTATTGTTTACAATGCGTAATGTAAATAAACAAAATATGCATTAATTGCCACAAAAAGGGTTGGCAAGTTGTAAATGTGTGCGGCTCTGCGTAATATTTATAAATGTATATATATATATATATATGTGTGTGTGTGTGTTATATTTGTAGAGTCACTGACTCACCTACGAGTATAGATGCATTACCGCACCTGTGATAAGTCTGTCTGCTCTGCTGGTAGCAAATATCTATAATGATAGCACATACATACATATGCACATGCATACATATATAAATAGACATATACATGCTCGTATATATATGTGTGCGTACGTTATGTTCATGCATATGCATGAATGCAGTATTTTGTTCATATTTACGAAATAATTCACTCGTAGCCGTAATAGGAATTGCTACTGCAGCAATAACAACAACAGCATAACACGTTTTCAGTTTATTATTTTTGTATAAAATTTTTTATTTGAAATATAATTTCACTCTTCGCGTACTCATATAAGCGTAAAATATATCTTAAAATATGAAAATTGTATTATTTTAACAGGTTTTTATTATAATCGTATGTATTTACATACATAAATACCGTTGAGGGCGCATTTGTGGTTTTTGGGAATTTTTTTTTAATTTCGAGTTCCTTGAAACATTAAATTTTTTTATTAATTAGTCAGGTGAATACTAACGACGTAAATACATTTTTGGTTTAATATTGGCCAAATTACAAATTGCGAAATATAAATCAAAGTAAGCATTGTATATACATATATATACCTTTGTACAGGTATTGAAGAGCGAAAAATAAAAAAAGTGTGTGCATCTGTTTTTATTTCAGTCGCAAGCGTTGACTAAAAACAATAAAAAATATTATTATAAAAGCATTCAAGTAAAAAAAAAAAATAATAAAAATAAATTTATTGAGAAAAAATTGAAAATGTTAACTAAAAAAAATTATAATAATTAAATTAAAAAGAATAATTATCATTGCCAATAGTGGCGCAAACATTTGATTGAATCTTAAACAATAATAATATTTAGTCAATTATGAAAACTAAAAAACATATCAATATTAAAATATAATAAAAAATGTAATAAAAATAAAAATGAAAAAATATTTATTATTTAAAAAATTTAGTATAAAAATAAATAAAAATTATAGCAAAAATAATAAGAATAAAAACAATATAAATAAAAAAATTGAGAAGATACTGAAAATGTCCATTAAAAAATTATAATATTAAACTAATAAAAAGTATAGGTATACAAATTTGATTGAGTCTTAAAAAATTGAAAGACTAAAAAAGTTCATAATAAGATATAGTAAAAAATTCAATATCAAAAATTAAAATCAACATTAACGAAAATTGAGTTTTCAGATCACACAAATATTAAAAATATGTGAAGCGAAAGGCACTAAGTCGACAGCTAACAGTTTTAGAAAAATTTAAAAAAATACCTCCAAAACCAGAAAGAGGCCATCGACAAAATTGGCTGATAATGTGATATAGTGAACTACAATACTTGCCCCTTTAAATAATACAAAATATTTGTAAGTTTAAAAAGCAATATTTTATTAAATAAGCTGTGAACCATAAAATTATATATAATTATATATGTGATCGCTTCAAAAGTCATCAGTTTATTCAAAGTTTACAATAAACGCAGCGGACATACGGTCGTATGAGGGACACTGAATGTTTAAGAGGCCAAGAGAATGCCACTTTCTTCTTTCCTTACTGTTTGTATGGCTTTTTTCATATCCTACACTTTCCGCTTTCGTATTTCACCTTTTTTGGGCATGTTTGCAGGTGAGAGCAGCACTTGCTATAGTATACCACTTTCGCCGACATCGAGTTTTATCACATTTTTTATAAATAATAAATTACACAAAAATGTAAACAATATGTTACTTAAAGTGTTGATTAACATATTACTTTCTTATTATCTCTCGATCAGTGAACCTTGTTTAAAGCTCAAGATTTCTTTGTTAAAAATCGTTTTGTCCGAACATAAATAAAGTCCACTGCACCACTAATCACATTTATTTCAACTGACTACCGGCGTTACTTACAAGTTAAATCCCGCTTCATTAAAATCTGAGAAAACCGGCCTATTGTTCAAGATCCTGTTATTTTCACATTTAACGTTTCGGCGAAAAGCTGGTAAACCACATGGACCGCATTTACTCTACCATTTTATGTACAAGAAGGGTATACAAATAAATAAATAATTTACAATTGTACATTTGCATAAAATTATTTTATGATTGATTTTAAGAAGAAGAAGAAAAGGTATTAAAAATAACATTTAAATTTTAGTAAGAAATAATTATAATTAGATAATAAAAAAAAACAAATGAAATTGCACGTACATCTTCTTCTTATCGCATATTTGAAAATCTGATGCCCGTTTGCAAAAATTCAGTAATCTCAAAAAAATCTCCAAAAGTTTCTATGGTTCCTGTGAAAATTTACACCAAGAAAAATTTGGAAAGTGAACCTAGGTCTGACCCATTCGAAAAACACTCTTATGCCCCTACAGAAAGGGGTGTTCTTTAAAAGCTATCGACCGATTGACTTGATGTTTTGTCAGATTCCTGGGAAGGTTTTTACAAAAAAATTTTGGGAAGTGGACCAGGGACTGACCTATTCAAAAAAACTTATTTAAGGTTTCATTTACTTGAATTTAGGTACATACATATATGGACTTTTGCTTATATTAACTCTTCCCTTATTTATGGTTCGGCTTACTTATAGGTGGCTCTATTACTAAGATTAACAAGAAGGTCTGGGAAGTGGATCAGGAAATGACCAGTTAAAAAAAAATCTTTTTTTATGGTGCCATTCACTTGAAATTCGGCGAATAGGTGGCTTTTTGCTTAAATGGGCAACAAACTCTCCGGGAAGTGGGCCGGGGACTCGCCTATTCAAAAAGGTTAGTGGGCCAATGCCAATGGAAAAACCAAAAATGTTGTACAAGTATTGAGTAAATAAAGATATGATAAAAAGATATCCCATAATTAAATTGTCATACATTGAATGACTTTGTATGTATATAACGTTGATAGCTCAATTAAAAAAGTTGCGCAAAACTTTTTCTCTTCATAAACAATTTTCTTAAATTTTATTCATACATTTTTTAACCCAAAACCGTTAATGCGCGTTCATTTGCCTCAAACAACAGCAACTTCTAGGTTAAAGCCAAGTAACTGCATTATTTTTTATATTTACATCCCGCATCAAACAACAGCGCACATTTGTACGAAAACCAGTTATCAAAATTATATCAAATTTATTTACATATGTATGTGCATACTAAATATATTGTTATGAATGTAAATGTTAATAGGTATGTATGCAAGTGCATCGATAGTCTTCAATGCCATTGAAAGAAAAGATTGATAGCGTAGCAAAATAATGAAAAAAATGTAACGCTATTATACAATACATATAATATAATTCACGTATACAAGTGTACATACAAACAGACATACTTATATGTGTCTAAGTAAATGAAAGTAAATTAAGCCTACAAAATACCGTCCGAAATTCATTAGCTGCTTCACAAATTATCAAAATTAATGCATTCAGTACTGCTTAGGCACGCCTGGCCTTCTCAAGTTTATTCGCGATCGTTATTTTTTAAACGCAATAATAATGTGAGTGGCTTGAAAATTTAAAAAAAAAAAAATATTAAAGTATTAACTATTACATGTATAGAGCAATTGACAAAAATTAAATCAAACTGCCAGAAGAAAGTGTTGAGTCTATTGCGCTGGGAATGTCATACCTTTTAAGACCAAAATTAATTTCAATAATTTTTAATCGAATTTTCTCATATCAATTTTTACAACGAGTGGTGCTATTTACATATATATATATGTATGTAAATAAGCAAATAAAGCTAGAAATGTACCATTTTGCATTTTCAACTTAAAGTTTGAGATTTTAACGTTAAATGCGTCGTATTACGACTATTTTGTTAAGAATGAAATTCACCGTATTGGCCTTATGAACTTAAATACTCTACGTGATCACCGAATAAAGTTTACTATGGCGTACATCAAAAATAGTTCAAACGATTTTTTATAAGTACATGATAAATGTGTGTAGGTGCAGTCACAAAGTAAATTGGTCCACAAGCCGATGAGCTGATTTCAAGCATCTTGACCATCATCATTGGCGTAGGCAATGCTAATGCGACTATTGCCGAATCAACATAGTCAAACTAAGTCATTTTTATCCACCTGATTACTCCAAAAGAGTGGAGATCTTGCTCTTTCTCCACTTCCATCGCTGGTACTGCATTGGTGTGCTTTCATCTATTTAGACGACATGAGTTAACCAGCGTTAACACTGTCTCTTGATTCGCTCATCGTTCCACCCTCTCTCTAAAACTATCAAAGTCGCCTGATATAGACAGCGCTTCTGTGATCATAAAGGAGGATAAAAGTGATAAATAAGCGACTTGTAGAGTTTAGTTTTGGATCGTTCAGAGACGAACTTACTTTTCAATCCAAAGTAGCACCTATTGGCAGAGGTGATTCCTCTTGGGATTCAAGGCTGACTGTGCTCAGACTGCCTACGAGATAGATTGGATTATTTACAAACAATTTTAATGTTGCGGCAGTGACGTCGGAGCCGAGTCGCGAGTCCGTCCTGTTCCCCCTGTTGACCAGGTATTCAAGCACTTCATACTCACGCATTTCGGTCTCTCTATTTGTTTTTTACCTGTAAATGCATCTATATTCCCTCTCCCGCTCTTGGTATCTATCCCACACTGCAAATATTATGATTGAGCGCTACCTGGAGAGGTAGGCAGTTTGTTTTCTTTCCAGTTCGCAATCGTAGCGGCTCCTAGTTCTCTGATTTTGACAAATTTTTGGTAACAATATTCAATTATAGAGACGAATGTGAAATGTAAAATTTCACACTTTTAGATGCTTTTCTGCCGGTTTGATTTTTTAATGGTTTTATAACCCAAATTCAGACTTTTCGTATATACGAGGGGATTAATAAAAGGTTGGTGAGTTTACCAAAAGAAAAATTAAACCAACAAAAAAAGCTTTTTGTATTTATTCGTAACCTTTAGTCTGTTTCATCTTCTCAACATAATCGCCATTGGTTTTAAAGCATTTAATTTATAGACCCACTTCTGAATAAAGTCTTCCAAATCGTTGCTATTAAAGACCTTTCGTTTTAATTTTTTTTTTAATTTTTGGAATTAACCAGAAATCACAAGGTACAACATCCGGGGATCCGGAGATCGCAATACAATTACTCGTTATTTCAGCAGTGTGGGGTGGTGGTTGTTATGAAGTAAAAAGTAGCGCCGAAAATCCTCTTTATTCCTGTTTTCCAATACATTTTTGAAAACTTTTAGCAAGCACTCTTTGGTGTTCCATTTTTGCATCCGACCATTTTCCAGTGGAATGCAGCTAGGATTTTAGAGTGGGTGAAGTAAACTGACATCATTATTTTTGCTGCTGATTTCTCTTGCTTAGATTTTACAGGTGGGTTTACTCTTGCTGGGCTGCATTCCATGAACTGCTGTTTGGTTTCTGGATCGCTCTTATCGAACCAAGATTCGTCACCAGTAACGACTTTACAAAAGTTGCTAGACTGACTATTTTCGAATTTGTCCAGCATCCTTTTGGGCCTCATTTAAAATTCGTGGTACCCATATCGAGCAGATATCTTCGTGTATCCCATATGAATACTCAATATTCGCGATACAGTCATCGCCTTCTAGCTCAATTCATTAGCAATCATTGCCATAAATCGTGTGTCTTCGTCAATTTTGGATATCACCTGAGCTACAGTGACGGGGCTTGTCCGCTACGGCAAAATATTTGGTCTGGAACCTTCGCAACCACTTATAAACAGTCTTTGAAGACGGTGCAATCGTTCCCTATGCAATTTGGCATTCACTAAATATTTGTATTAACTGAAAATTACGCCGAAACCCGAAGCGAATCACATCGCGAATTTCTGTTTGCCTTGGTGGTGGAATTTCGTCTGACCTATCCTAAGATATCTTGCGTTTTCTCGACTCTATTTTAGCCGATGATGCAAAAATTTGAAGAAAGACTAAAAAAGTAATTGGAAATGATTTCGTATTTTTAGATTTAGCAAAAACAAATTGCTAATCACGATTTGACCGAACTTTTGTTAATCTCCTCGTATGTATGCTGCAGTGGTTCGGTATGGCGGATTACGACAGCTTCTGTTTACAAAGTTTAGTTCAAATATCTCGAATACTGAAAGACTACGAGTATATTGCGTACAAACAAATAAACAGACGGAAGTGGCTAAATCAACTCAGGTTGTCATTCTGACCCGATCGGTGATTGATTTGATGGGTCTATATCTTCTCCTCCTGGTACTTACATACATACTTCCGATCAAAGTTAATATCATATCTTTTACATGAAAGGTATAAAAAATTAGCTCATATGTATGCGTATAGATTTTTTGTCCGAAATTCAATAATTTGATGATTTTACTATTTATTATTTCAGGTATTACATTCAATTATATTTGGTCTTACTCTCTTTCACCTTCTGCGTCTGTTCAAGTGTCTACAACTACAATGGAGGAATTAAATATATACAACAAAATTCGCCACCAATCTATCCATATAAGGAACTGAATACCCTATATGAAGCCAGAAATTTAGAGTTCGGCTTTCCGAGCGAAGCCGAGCGGCAGGCGACATTGCGTGATGGGCGCTATAACCCAGATAGCGCGCTGCCCATTGATGTGGATGTGTACTATACGTGTGAGTGTGAGAGCTTGAGATATTGGAAAATAATGATTAAATTTAAATTTATTTTCGAAATTAATTTCTCAGCGCCAAAAGCCTTGCCGATAATTTTTATGACGATACCACGTTTTGGCAAAGGCATACCATACTCATTGGCATATGTCACAGGTGTGCCCAGACCAAATGGCACAGAGCTGCAGCCATATCCCAGCTACGATTGGCACAGGTCACATGGCAAGGATTGCGAAGGACTCACTTCCGTGTGTCGTGTGCATGTGTGTAACTTTTTTTTTTGTTTAAATATCTTTACAAATAATTTGAAAATAATTTTTGCTTTGCATATCAGATCGATCCGTGCGGCCGCATGTGGATACTCGATAGTGGCGAGATTGAAAATGAACAATTCTGTTCGCCACAACTGGTTGTAATTGATGTGGCTACAAGCCGGCTACTGCATCGTTATCGCTTATCTGAGGATTTATACAAAAGCACCGTTAGTCGTTTTGTTACACCGTTGGTGGATATTACAGATCCACCGCCGCGAGGACGTTGCAGGGAAACCTTTGTTTATATGGCTGATGCTACGGGTTTCGGTATTGTCGTTTATGATGTGCAGAAGGGCGAGTCGTGGCGTATTGAAAATAAATATACTTATCCGGATCCCGACTTCAGTACACACATCATTGCTGGCGAGCGTTTCGAGTTGTTGGAGGGTGTAATTGGTCTTGCTGTGACACCACTAGGTTTGGGTTTGCCACGCTCGCTCTACTTTCATGCCTTCTCAAATGATGCCCAAGTGGCGATCCCCTTGGAAATCATCAATAACAGCTCTCTCTGGGATGGCGGTTTCGGCTCGGCAATAGAGCATTTTAATTTGCTCGGCAAGCGTGGCGTTCAGTGCGCGGCCTCGGCAATGACTATGAATGGTGTGCTCTTGTGTGGTCACTATGAGCCGATCGGACTCTTTGGCTGGAATATACGTACGCCGTACACCTTTAACACGCGTTTCCTGTTGGCTGAGAATCCCATTAAGTTGCAGTTTATTAGTGGCCTCAAGGTGATCACCAGTCCCTGGGGTAAGGAAGAGGTGTGGCTGCTATCGAATCGTCTACAGAAGGCTTTTACTGGCAATATAAACTATAATGAGATAAATTTTCGTATAATGCGTTGTGGGGTTGAGGAGTTATTGCAAGGGAGACCCTGCTAAGCGACAGCTGGAGATTGAGTTTAATTTTTTATTTATATTTTTATTATTATTTAATAAGCTTTAGTACAAATATAAATTGTAACCGTAAAAAAAATAAAATCCTTTTCTTTTTAGAGTAGCTAGTTATTTTTCTTCTCTTTTTAGCCAAACCATCTTTCAAAACCTTTGTGGAAACTTACTTCGACAAAGCAATGTATGATAAATTTGTCAAATTAGGTACGATTCTTTACCGGCTAGTCTCGCAGGAAAATGAACAAATACGACCATACAATGCGATTACCTCATTATCAGACAAACATTAACACTCACTTCATATTTAGGCAAAAAGAGGGGGAGTAGTACTAACACCTCCGATTCTCCTAAAAATGTTATTAGTATTTTTCTTTGACGTCTGCAACCTTAGACTAAACCTGAATGCAGGATCTTAACTTTACCTGTGGTATGTTGGGTGCAGAAAAGGGGAGTGATCCTTTCTAACTCAGCGTTGTTCCAACAGCTTTAGCTAATAAAGTCCTACAAGTTTAAATAATATCCACCAAATTATAGGAGAGTAACCTGCCGACCTGTACTGACGCTCACACCTGGCCACTTGCCCATAATTGCCTCGATTGATAAGCCGCCTGGCTTGGTTTGTGCAACACCAGATGGCTCGACTTCACAATATTTTTCGAGAAGGCCTTTAGTGCTCTTCCACTGCAAACGAAGTCACCGTAGGTTAAGACTTGTTCTGCGAAATTGTCGTGTCTGCTGCCACCCGCTACATTCCGGCAGGCCGAATCGTTGAAATCCGCTCTAGTTTTTTCAACAATGCTAGGTCATATCAATCCCGGAGAGCAAATATTCTATTGTTGTAAGTTGACCAGCACAAGCGGTTCCGCTGGGAAGAGAACTTATGGTCCTGCAACCTCTTTCGTGGAACAACCATGCTCTGCTCACAAGTAAAATCGAGAATGTTGCGGGGGTTACCGGAAAAGCAAAAGCTTTCAAATCCATTATAATAAATCATTTGGGCCCAGTGGGAGCAGGTAGTCTGGTTCTCATTCTGTATTTTTGTCATCGATCATACTTTATACCCGACATGGGGAAAAGGGGTAGGCCTTGCAGCTTCCGTCCTTAACAAACTATCGCAGCCATGCAGCACAAACACACCGAAATTGGCCCAGCGCACGAAATAGAGAGAACATTGGATCTGTCACAAGGCTTTGAGTATTCGACAGGGTAATGTTGTCTCCCCTCTTTGTTTAATTTCTATGTTCTGTAACTGTCTTCTCCATCAGAGGGCAAAAATACAGCGCCGAAACAAAATCCTCTAGTCATTTGCCGACAGCACATGCTGAATGGACAAAGAACCATTGTTCGCAACATGCAAGGCAATTGACCGGCTGGTCGTAAATTACACTGCACCAGTTTGGATGCTGAGGACTAGCGAGATGTAGATGAAGAAGCTACAAACTATCAGATAACTTCCCTTAAGAGCGTAACAGGAAACTTTCTAATGTCACTGGAGTATCATTCGCAAATGCTACCCTTTAAGGTGCATAATGCTATGCTGTTCGAGTAATATCTGCTGGGATGCTACCAGCGGGAAAACTCAACTACTCAACTACACTGGGCAGCATTATGTACAAGAACAGCTGGACAGGACCGCGTATCAATAAGTTTTAAGCGCCATTCACTGGGAGTCCGTTTACACCTTCCTGAACTCTTTTTCACTGAACGGCGTTCCTGAAATCCAAGCAAAACCAAGAGCTCACGAAAGATCTGTATATTGTAGTCGAATTATTCTTCTTCGTTACTGGTGTCGACATAATCCACGTATGCTAGGCTTACAATGAGACCCGCACCACCACCATCCCTTTTCATGCGTCTTAAAATTTACTCATCGTACTCCCTTTCCCTCTGATATGAAACAGCTTGTGTACTAGACGTCCTTTTATATGACCTCGATTACTTAGATTAGTCTCGCCTGCTTCCAAGTTGTGCTGGATAGCCACAAGAGTAACAACAACATGTGTTCATCCAGTTTGTGAACGGAGAGGGTTGCAAGTTTGGGTTACCAGACCGAGCAGCGGTCAAGTAAAGCTTTTGAATGAAAATATTTTGCATCCTTTCCACCTCAATTGTAAGAGAATCAACGATTCACTTTACTAAATGGACTTCATAATTTCATTATTTAAAAATACAATAAAATATTTTCACCCACAAATGCAGCAGCAACAATCAGCGTGCGAGAGGAAATAATAATAATAATGAGTTAAGAAAAAGCGAATGGAGAATTAGAATAGGAATTCCAGCGCAAACACTTTTTAATTAAATTCGACAATGTGGCATGCAATTATTTGTTGCATATTTCGTGGCGCGCACGGACCGCGCGCTCACTCATTTGGCTTAGCGTACATTACTTATGGCTCGCGCGTTGTTTGGAGTGCTGGAAGTTAATGCAAAAAGTCAGGACACCTGCGCAGCTTAATGCCTTTTCTTCAAGGGTTCATACACAAGTGAGAGAAGGCGAAAGATTGGAAACACTAAAAGAGTGTGAGGGGTGAAGTGAATGATTGCTGGAGTGCTGTCTGAAAGGAGAAGGGCGGCAGGTTGATAAAATAATACTTTGCAGCTGTTGCGGACGCGCAAAATGCAATAGAGCATGGGAAGAGATCAAAAAAAGGGCGAAAAGACGCAAAAAAGGAAAAAATGAAAAACGCCAACAACTACAGTCCAACAACCCAACAAGAAGTGCAATAACAGAAAGTAGAGAATGAAGTAGATAATTCACGATAAATGCTGAGTCATGCAAATTAAATGCATTTCTGGTGTTATTTCGAAAAATATTTGCATTTGCATTTTAAAGTTTTACGTTTCGCGTTTTTAGTGCCGCAAAAAAGCGGTATCAGGCTGACACGCTAATGTTCATACAGACGCACACACACACACACACACACACACAAATCCATAAGCACGCCCTCACCAACCAAGAATTACGCACATAAATTCAAACTCGCGCTTAAGCGGGCGTAAATGCCATGATAAAGAAGAGAGAGGGAGAAGGAAATAAAATGCGCGAAAATGTATTTGAAAGCGGCAAATGAAAGAGAAGTGTAAAGTAGAACCACAAAATGTAAATTAATTAAAAATGCACGCTGCATAATGGCCAAGCCAGCGCAAAGGGTAGAGCAGCCGGTAGCGAACGAGGCTACGAACCGCGGTTAGTTAAGGACAGAAGCAATGACCAGAAGATGACCAAAGCTTTGTGTGTGACGTGGCGTGGCATGGTGTGGCTTGAGTCTAAAACAAATACTGTGCAGTGCAGTGCGGTGTGGTTGCGGTGGCGCTGTAATCGCGCGAGACAAGGTCACCTTTGAACGCATTAGAAGAACACCAACAAGCTTCTTTCGACACACACACACACACACACACACTTATGCTCCTTTTCTAGCTTTAGCAAATTTTGAAATAGAAGTACCGAACACAAAGTGATTGTGGAGAGTGGAATTCTCACTTGACTTAACAGTCTATAGTTGCTGTGGAGCAATGCATTTATTGTGGAAAGCTGCTCATTGCTAAGGTGAATAAAACTATGATTGAGTTCGTTAAGTCTTCGTTTACTTTGACGCTAAGTGGTTGTCTGTGTCGCTTTGGTATTTACCTATTTGGTCTCTTAACTACTTTGGCGTAAATCTTAATGTCTTTTTCTTAGATTGAAAATTTTAATGCAGTTGGCATTAGCGAGATGTTAAGAAGAAGAATATAGCAATTTGTCGTTTATCTTCTTTTCGGTTTCATTAAGAATTTGTTAATTAATGAATGTGAAGAGAGAGAGTGGAGCTGCGCAAGTCTTTCTTCATTTATCTATATATATTTCGCCTTGTTCGGATTCTCTAGGAAAACACCCAGAATTACTATCTTGTAGAACTTCTGCATGAAATCTGTATAAATTCAGCGATAAAGCAGCTAAGAAACTTCCGCAGACGTTAAAACAGCAGGGAAAGCTGGTCTATGCAGGGGCTTCAGTTAAGTAGGCTAAGGGCAAGGTCGCAATCAAAGATTGCCTGTGAAGAAAAATGTGCTCTTGTTCGACTGAAGTTCAGGCAATGGCAGAAAACTTATGGTTTTGTTGCTGTAGCGGCAAGTCTAACCCCACTGCTAAGCAGGCAAAATAAGACAAAGTCATCTAACGGGAGGTCCAAGAAACGAGCTGTTTCGACGGTCTCGGACAAGTGGGACAATCGAGTTTGATTAGTAGGTTTTAAAGTGGTGGCGAGACATGCAACGGGTATGTCGGGTTGAAGTATGTATTGGTAGGAATTTAGCCGACTACAGTATCCAGATCTTAATTATGCCAGTACAATGCGGAGGTCACGAGCCAGCTTGAGCACTTCATCTACAGTTCACTGGAAGAGATTTCAAGAAGATGTTCACAAATTTTTGGTGAATGGAGTTTAAATCCTGTCGGCAAGCCGTCCTTTCAAGCAGTTCTTGTGAGTGGCGCTAAATGCAGTCCTTTAGATCAAGTACTCCGGTTTTGATATATTTAGGTGGTGGATCGGCTTCAATTAATTGTCTGTTGGTATCCCAGCAACTCTTTAACTAATAGCACAGAAGCTCGCTGTGCAAGTGTCTCTCTGGCGACATTTGAAGGTTGCCTGTCACGGTGCCGAGTAGCTACAATTCCCGTCCTTCTAAATGTTGTGGTTGCGTTAGGAGAAAGCAAAAGCGAAAACCTTAGACGGCTGAACATGAGCTGTATGTTCAGCGTATCGAAGAACAACGGCAGCATTGGCTAGGTCACGTTGTCCGAATGGATGCAAGCACTCCAGCTTTGAAAGTATTCTATATAGTTCCCGCTTGTGGAAGCAGGGAAGGAGGAAGACCTCCACTCTGTTGGTAAGAAATCCGTTGCTAAGAACTCCGCCAGTTAGGAAGAAGAAGCAGGCCGAAGAAATCAGATATATGCTCATTTAATTATACTATTTTGCTATTTCTGGATCATTCGAGGAGTAATT